CTACATTCACACATATTCATACTCCGATGAACGCATCGGAGGGCAACTTGGGGTTAGTATCTTGCCCATGGATATTTGGCATGCAGACTGGGGAAGCCAAGGATCGAACCACCAACCTTCCAATCAGTAGCTAATCTGCTCTACCACCTGAGCCACAGCCATGTGATGGGGGTGGGGAGTAGTGAGCAAAATGAGTGGAGGAGGTGTAAAGTATCTGGGGTGTCAGAGGTGGAAAAGCAGCAGTGGGGGTGGATGTGTCTGCAACCGATGTTGAAGACTGCATCCTGAATGAATCAAACCTGTTAAAGAAGTGATTCAGTTTATTTGCCCACCTCACATCCCCCTGGGCAGAGAGTTATGATTTTTGTGGCTTGAGATGGTTCTAGGCCTCTCCAGACTTAACATTATTCTGCTGAAGCTGGTTTTCCATTTTCTGCCTGTAGCTGTCCCTGTAGCTTCCCGTTCCTGATTTGAGCTTTCAGCTCTTTCTGAACCATTTTTAGCTCCTCTTTATCGCCAGCTTTGAAAGCCCTCCTCTTCTGCTTGAGGAGAGCTTTAATTTCTGGGGAAATCCAGGGTTTGTTGTTGGAGAAACACTGCACGGTCCTGGTGGGTACAGTGTTATCCACACAGAAGTTGATGTAGCCCATGACGCAGGTCAAAAGGCTGTCAATGTCCTCTCTTTCATTGTCACAAAGCACCTCCCACACAGCAGACTCAAAACAGTACTTAAGACCTCTCCTCCGACCATCTCTGCACTGTGCACGTGATTGGTGGCTCCCTGGGCACTAAGGGCTCAGGAACAAGGTGCACCAAGTTGTGATCATATCTTCCCAGGGGAGGGAGAGGTGATGAACTGTATGTCTCTTTTGCATTCTCATACAGTAAGTGCAATGTTTCACTGTCTCTGGTGGGGCATGTCACATACTGGGTGAAGTTGGGCAGTGTGGAGTCCAGTGATACATGATTATAGTCCCCTGATATCTAAAAATGGGCTCTGAGAGATGGCATTTGCAGTCTGCTGACTGCGATAACATGCGTGAATTCTCTGGGCAGGTAGTACGGGTGCATGCTACAACTAACAGCTCAATGTCTGTGCTGCAGACTTGTTCTTTCACAGTGATGTGCCCAGAGTTACACCATCTGCCGTTCCCAAACACTGCCAGTCCCCCTCCTTTCCTCTTACCGCTCTTTCTTGTCTTGTCCGCCTGCAGCAGCTGGAGACCGAGCAGCTCCACACTCGTCTCCGGAGTTAGCGGTGTTAGCCAGGACTCTGTGACACTGCCAATCCTCCTGGCAGTGTAGCATCTATGATTGGGTTAGCATCGTTAGCTCTTCCATCTTATTACGTAACGATCTCACATTTCCCATGATCACAGAAGGGAGAGATGGTTTGTATTGTCTCCTTCTCAGGTGACGATGCTCCCTCTCAGCATGACTCCCCGTTTCATCCCCCTCTGCTCACTGAGGATGTCGAGTCTGTCTGCCATTAGCACAGCTGCAGCTGCAGGGCACAGCGCTAACAGCAAATCCCTAACATAAACAAAGGAGCTGTGTGCCGGGTCTCCAAAAGCGGTGAAAAAAGGGGATAAAGATAGAGAAAAAATGAACAGAATTAGCATGAAACGGTAGTGCATGATGGAAGAATCTAATTGCTAAGACTAAACTAAAGGTTCAGAGAAGTAAAGACGAAAATAAGGAAGAAGCTCAGAAATGAGCAGAGCTGCTGTAACAGCCTGCTATACACAAGGGGCACCAGACGTTATTGAGTTTTTAAAAGTATAGAGCTAGAAGAATCAGATGACAGTGCGTTGCTAGGAATGATTTGAGGAAAATGTTATTTCAAAAGACTAGACAAAAGCCTTGATAAAAGCATGGTTTTGTGCAAACTGTGCAAAAAAGAGTTTGCATACCACTGAAGCAGTTCAACCTAACGGTACCATCTAAATGTAAAACATGTTGCAGCGAGCACAGCAAACTGTGGGAGCTGTTAGAGCTAGCAGTCCCAGGTTGCCAGCCCAAACTTTAGGAAATGACTGATTTCAGGATCAAAATTAGTAAGTCAACAGGCCCTCTTCCTATTGAAAAAACAAAAGTTGTATCCAAGATGGCCGACTTCTAAATGGCCACCATGGTCACCACCCATCTTGAGGAGTTTGCCCCCT